AAAAGCACATCGGGGTACATATTCTGCCTGGGTTCAAAACCCATTTCCTGGAGTTCAAAGAAGCAAAAGACTGTGGCATTATCTTCAGCGGAAGCAGAATATATCGCAGCTACAGATGCAGCACGCGAAGCGGTATGGCTAAAAATATTAATTTCTGATTTGCAGCAAAATGAAAATGGTCCAACCATTATTCATTGTGACAACATGTCAGTCATAGCCATGACAAAAATCCAGTATTTCACGCAAGATCGAAGCATATCGAGATGCATCATCATTTCATCCGAGACCTCGTCAACGAAGGATTAATCATGATGGAATTTATCAACACCGACGACCAGCCAGCAGATATCATGACAAAGGCGGTTAACCGTGAAAAATTCGAGAAGATCAAGGAGCTACTCCGAATTGCAAATTAAGAGGGGGTATCAAATGGTAATTTGCAATTATCACCATCAAAATGTGCCCACTACTATCAAATCAAGAGACAACCCATTTGCATAACAGGAACATCTCATCCTACTTGCGAGAAAGAAATAACTTCATGAATGATTGGTGAATTATCAAAGTTGATCTCAACATATGGATAAGTGATCAGAAGACAAGGCAAGTGAGCATCGATGCATGGAGGGCCACGTTCTTTATTGATGGAATTAATCATACCCACTGGACACATGCATATGTCTTTGCATAATAATGAAATAGAACCATGTGGTGAGTTAATAGCTTGTTTCCTTTCCAATTATATAAATATGTATGTAGTAAATGCATGGGGGAAGGGGAGTGTCAGAGAGTGGGCATAAGAAAGAAAGGAAAGAAAGGCACAAGTATGCCATATGTATCTCGTCCATCTTTTGTGAGTGTAAAAGTATAAGCCAAATTAATAAGGTCATACTTATGTTAAGTTTATTCTTAAATTAAGTGATTAAACACCAAATGTTTCTTTTGTTTTGATCCAAAATCATCATTACTTTCACTAATACCCAACAGATCCGTGACCGTGACTGTACTTAACTTTATGCCCATATGGGAAATAAAGACATTGGAGGAACTTACCTTCCACCAACTTCATTATAATTATAGGTGTCAAAACAGAACCCGACCCGACTAACCCGCCCGATCTACCCGACCCGCAACCCGACCGCAACCCGAATTGACTAAAAGTCAACAACCCGTAACCCGCCCGACCCGCAACCCGATTGACCCGCAACCCGACTAACCCGAAACCCGACTGACCCGCAACCCGATTAATCCGATTAATAATTGAGATCATTGACAATATTAATATAATATATTAATGAAAATTATTGTTAATTTAAATATCCAATAAAGTTATCAATTAACAAGCCATTTTCGTAATGAGCTCGTACCAATACCATAGCTCGATTTTGGTAATGAACCTATTAACATACCATTTTTGAGCTGATAATCAAGCTTGATAATCAAGCTCTTTAACACCACTAATCCAACCACTATATTGGGTATTAATAACCCAACCTTAGCTTGATAGCTACAAAGTAGCCATCGGTGGACAAGAAAAAGCCCAGAGTGGCGGCCCATTTAATAGGCCACACATGAGGGCCTTCTCATGGTTGATTTAAGTGTAAGGATGCCCATACTCTTATATAACTGATTGGAGTAGAAACCTTCCTCCTCTGGCGATGTGGTACATTAATTCCTCTTTTCCCCTCTCTGAAAAATGAACCATGAGAGGCGAGCTAATTTCTGGCCTTCTTCTCCTTTATCTCTCGCTTTTCTTCCACCTAACCCACCAGCAATGAAGTTTCTAGAGGCCATGTAGATCCTTTATCCTTGTCATCCTGCTCTATTAGTTCTAGAAATCAAATAAACTTAAAGATGATGAGGATGTTTCGGATATAGCAGCACTTGCTTGTACAAGAGTAGGTGGTTTGACAGGAGTATGCGAGGAGTGGGATGCAAGGTCAAGCAGTATATGGCAAGGAGATGCTTAGGTTAATATAATGTTTCAAACCTGCTGTCTTTTGATGTCGATGTTAGGCAAGTGAGTTTGTTGTCTTCTGCTCTTGATGCGAGGTAAGTGAGTGGACTGTCCTTACTGCTAAGTAGTTGATGAGTTCCTCTATGCTAATATATTGTTTTCAATTGATGACCATTCTATTTTGCAGGGAATAAATAAATTCATTAGAAGAATTTCATGTCTCATTCATTTCTATCTATTTGAATTACCTAATATGAAATTATAATGGGTTTTATTGTGGATAAAGAATATCCTAGAAGGTTAAAAGAATCTCCACTACCGATATGATTTCATGAGTTAATGGTGTTTGCAATGTATATTGGCCAATTTGGTATTTTGCATAGAGAATGAGTTCATCAAGAATGATGAACGAATAACAATAGTTGGTCGGTCCTCATGAATGACTTATGGATCATGTTGCTTCAATGAAAACCATAACTTTCTTTATTGTTGTATTTGCTTTGGAGTGACTAATGAGCTACAAATCTAGCTAGTTTGCAAGTCGGGCTCAACGAGTCTTCAAACCGAGCTAGCTTGCGAGCTTAACAAGCTGAGCTAGACCTAGCTCAAGCTCGGATCATTAGTAAACGAGCGAGCTAACGAGCGAGCTCATTAAGTAACAAGCCGAGTATCGAATGAACTTTTCTCAAGCCGAGCGTCGAGCTGTTCGCAAACGACTTGGCTCATTGAGCTAGTAATCAAGCCTTTGTCGAGTTCCATTCGAGTTGAGCTCAAGATGGATAATGTTTGAGTCGAGCTAAGTTTGATTTTGGAAGTTGCCAGCTTGTGTCGAATTTAAGCCGAGCTATCAAAGTATAAATTTCACTTTAAATTACCTATATTAGAATCACAATTCATAAGGATATATAGTTAGAGTATGTGGTTAGTGTATAATGTATTGATGGTTTAGGGTATACGATCAACAACATATACTAACCTAATATTGTCGGTTGAGGGTAAGGTTAAGTGTGTAGGATATATGTTGTTGAGTGAGTTATTATTGAAGTTACAATAATTTTACTAAATTTGATAGGTAATCATTAATGGTTCAATTTTTAGGGTAACATTTACAAATAACTAGTTTGGCAACAGTTTACTAAAGTTATTTGGACAATAAGTTATCTCGAAATAACTCATTTTACCGCTCTGCTTTTGCGAAATACCACATGCCAAATACCAAATTTGCATGGTTATACTAAACAAGATACTTTAATCCAATTACTACTGAAATAATACTAATAAAATACCAAATAAACAATTAATGTGTCATTTGATTGCAATTGTTGATATCACCATTACTATTAGCTAGTGTACTTTACCAATTACGATTAATTACATAACATGTTTGCAAGTCATACAAATGGATTCAACATTTTGACTAGTTTTGGTTTTAATTAAGTATATATACGAGGTATAAAGAAATGGGTTAAAATTTGAGAAAAAATATATGAAATTAGTGTAATAAAATGTGCAAGTTGATAATGAGTAAGAAGTAAGTTACTCGATGCATTGATTCGAACAACCCGCAACCCGATCCGCCCGACCCAAAACCCGATGAACCCGCAACCCGATTTGTCCGAACCCGATGAACCCGCAACCCTAATAACCCGTAACCCGTTTGAACCCGAACCCGATAAACCCGAACCCGATGAACCCACAACCCGTTGAACCCGTGACCCGACTAACCCGCAACCCGATTGAACCCAGCCCGAACCCGCCCGATTGACACCTATAATTATAATGTCATGTTTAACTTTTCTGGTAGTTAACGTTCAATTATTTTTTTATTTGATAATCCAAGAAACCTAAGCCCCACGCAGCGGCGGATCCAGAACACAGAGAAGCACTGGGCCGAATTTCATTAGAAAATTACAACCGTAAAAAAAATAATGATTATAGTTTTTTTGCAATTTAAATTGTACCCGATAGTATTTTAATTAAGAGAATGCATTAATAATGGAGTCTACAGAGCAATCGGCGAGAAATACATCGCTCATTTGTTGAGCAAATCAGTTGTCGCATGTTTCATTGTTGAAAAGGTTCTCCTCGTAGTAGCTGTTGAAACGAGCAGCATCAACACTAGACAAATCAATCGACTAATCAATTTGCATTGTGTGTCTATCCATGCATCCACCAACTGCTCTAGTAAATTTTTAAGGGAACAAACCTCATATTTCTCTTAGTATTTTTCAATTTAAACTTTTAGAATTTTACGTTTCATGGTTTTTTTAGACGCATAATCTTTGGGGCTGAAATTTCTAGGCTAAATTTAGAGTAGTGATTTGAATATGTTCATCTGAATAATATTTCTAGTTATACCCAATCTTATTATAAAATAACACTCGAACGAATGCCTAAAATCGAAAAATTCATAACGACTATACTAACTACGGATCCAGAAGAGGGCTCGGCCGGGGCCTAGGGTGGCCACCCCCTGGATCCGCCACTGGCCCCACGTGCCGCTTGAGCGACAGCGGGGCCTACTAAACCACTGGGGGTACCTACATACTAACCGGGGCTTTCTACTACCAATATCGGGGAGGCTTCGCCTCCGATACCAAGGGTGCCGCCGAGAACGCTCAAGTGGCGCCACTGGGAATCGAACTCAGAACCTCCCACATCTAGAGCTCAATTGGCCTAGTGGTGAATGTTACCTTTGGTGACGTTCAATTATTCGATAACAATTCAATAGCAGTTTGACGTCCGCCATATGTCATTTGGATATATTGTATCATAAATTTTATCTAAAATTTTTAAAATTATTTGAAATGCTTAAGTTGGTATGATATTATCGTGACATCAAAATTATTTTCAACTTGAAATTACAATATTCTTTTTTCAGTGATCGCATATTGTATTTTTAGCGATTATAACACCTGTAGGAGTATGCAACGGTTGGGTTCGCACCAGACCAGACAAAACTCATGAGAACCACAGTCCAAAACAAAAAAAAATATATTAGGACAAAGGACCAGTCTATCATTGCATTTGCTCAGGTCTAATCCAAATTTCTACTTGGTTAATTTTTCTTCATTATTTACAAAATTCATTGGATCGTCCCGTATTATACTCGGTTCGGTATGATTCTGTCCGAAGGTTCGGTGTAGTCTGGTACGATCAAACCATTGATGACTCCTATGTAATAATGAAATCACTTAGGGGTCGTTTGGATGAGGAATTATAACGGATCAATTTGACACAATTGTCTCGTTTTGAGACAATTGTACCAAATTGCCTCGTTTGCCAGCAAAAAATTTAGATGAATCAATTTGCCTGAGGTATTTTGAATTGATCCGTTTTGAGTCAATTTCAATTACCTGGGGTGGGGGCAGGTAATTCGAATTGACTCATTTTAATTGCCTCGTTTATAAAACGAGACAATTGATCAAATTGCCTCATTTCTAGATTGATCCATCCAAACGACCCCGTTGTTTGTGGTTAAAAAGAAAACTCAGAGTTGAACCCACAAGAAGCTCCAATCAAGACAGAGCCAGAAGAAGGGTATTTTTCTGGCGATGCTTCTCAAGGTTTGGATGCTTGCTTCCGAGTAGTTTACAAGAAGTACATGGAATTCAATGTGGTATTGTACAATTTCACCCCACTCTCTTCCATTCCATTTCGTATACAAAAAGAATCCACACTGCTGCAGTCTTTTGGACTCATAAAAATCCTGTCTTTTCTTTTCTTTTCTTTTCTATTTGTTTGTTTTGTTACAATGGGAAGTGCATCCCACTGAGATTTTGTACAATCGCTCGGCTGGAAATGAAGGACAGTGCTCAACTTCAGGATCCAAGCGGCAGAGTTTGGCCAGTTGCACTAATAGCAGGAGGAGGGAGGGGATCAATCAAACGATTCGGTAGTGGCTGGCCTGGCTTTGCTGCTGCTAATGGCGTGGCCTTTGGAGACAGAATCGATTTCCATTACAAGCCTGAACTGGGTGTCTTCCAGGTGAAGATACACAAGCCAAAGAACAATACTTGGAACGATTCTGAAGCTGGGAATCGGGCATGGAAGAGATCTGATGGTGGAAATCGTGAAAGGAGCAAGCTTTGCCAAAGTTATAGATGGAACTCCGAAACAGAGACATTGCCCAAACCCAGAAAAAGTAGAAAAACCTCTGTTTCTTCTCACACTCTGCCCTCTCTCTGTTTCTTCTCACACAGCAGAATTCTTGCTTAAGCTGGTCTTTGATTCGGGGATGTTCAAAACAGGTTTACAGAGGAAACGCGGAGCTCCAACTAAGACAAAGTTCAGAAAAGGTCCAGGTTTGGCTGATTCCTACCAAGCCGTTTACAAGAAGCACGTGAAACGCTCTAATTACATGGTATATAAGTTGATTTCCGTCCACTCGATCATCTCTAAGTTTCAATCATCAAAACCTTGACTTTACTTTCGTTCTGTTTTGGGCCGATGTGAAGTGCATGCCGGTGGGATTTTCTGAAGCCACGAAGCTGTCACAGAGGAAAACTGCTCAACTTGAGGACCCAAGAGGGAAAGTTTGGACAGTTTCTGTAATCTCAATAGGGAATGGCAGGCAGAGACGGTTCAGTCGTGGCTGGCAGGCCTTGGCCGCAGCTAATGGCTTGGCTGTTGGAGACGGAATCGAGTTCACTTACAAGCCTGATTTGGATTTGATCCAGGTCAAGATACATAAACAAGGGTGCAATGCTGGAAACGATTCTGAAATCTGAAGTTGGGGAGGAAGAGGTAATGGAAGAGAAGTGGGCAAGTGGTGTTGTAAAGCTTTTAGATTGAAAAGAGGTAGCGCCTAGGGCTAGGAATTGTAGTCTTTTTTACTGGTAGGGGTTTCAGTTTGTCACTAAGGTAAAGAACAGCATGATGAAATTGCAGATGGGGTTTCAGTTTGTCATTTCACTTTGTTTCATTTCAGACCCTCAGCAATGGAAGTTACTCCCCCTTGGTTAAAATGTGGTGGTGGTAAAAAGTAAGGTTAAAAGTTAAAAGTTTTGACATCCCAAAATGGCTACAGTACAAGTAATGAATAGCTCATAGTGAGAAGGGTTTCAAGAATTCACAGCCCAGACCCAGAGTATTAAAACCGAAACATGCAAGGCTAAAAGACAGCACCCACTCCCAAGCTTCCTTAGCAGACTAGTACTAGCAGTATGGAATCAACCAGAGAGAGAAAGGATACCAATGCTCAACCTCGTAGAGCTAGAGCTGCCTCTACCTTTGACTTAGTATGCTTTCATTGTCGTCATGGTATTGTAGTATACGTTGTTATTGATGACTGAATCTGTCTTATGTACTGTTTTCTTTCTATATGAAAAACAGTGCCTGATAGAAGCGTGAGTTGCTTGTGCTGTCAATGACAGTCAGATAAGTTTGAGCCGTATATAGTAATGCTAAAATGAGACATTCATATAATGTTGACATATTGATGTAGATAAACATGGAATGCTCAGATGGTACTTGGCACAAATTACTCAGCATGCGAACATACTTCTAATCAGTGTCGACGATCGTCGACTCTTGATTCTAGTGCTTTATGTCAATGTGAGGAATTGTTGTTTTTGTTCTTACGCTGGGGTATCCATCATCTACTCGAAGCTCTATTTTGAGTTAGTAACACCTATTATGACTGTTTGTATGCACTCATGATTGTCATGATGCTGTAATCTATGTTGTCATCTAATAGCATAACTTGTCATATGTAATGTTTTCTCTCTTTAGAAACAAATCGGCGCCTAATAAAGTATGAGCTGATAATGTCATCAACAACTAAAAGGATAAGTTTGAAGGTGTGCTTAAAAGAATGTTTTATGTAATGTTTTTTTTATAGATAAAGATTGAAATTTGAAGATCCGATTTTGACTCTTTGTAGCTCAAACTAATGGTTCCTTTCTGGACTGGTGTAATTGTGCAGACTGGCTCCAAGCGTGGGTTAAAGTTTGTTCCTTTAGGTTTCAGTTTGGCCATTAATGATGAACATTGCTGTTGGAAAGAAGTGAAAGCTCATTTCACACTTTGTTTCATCTCAAACCCTCAGCAACTGAAGTTACCGTGCCAAAGTGACAGTAAGTAAAGCTTAAAATGGGATGATGGTAGAAAGAGAGAGTAGGACTGCAAATGAGTCGAGCTGTTCGCGAGCGGCTCAGTGTTCGACTCGAGAAAAGCTAGTTCGATTAATGAGCCGAACATGAGCTAAACTTTGTTCAGCTCGTGAAGCTCGCAAGCTAGCTCGACTTGGTGGTTTGTTGAGCTAAACTCGTGAGCTGGCTTGTTTAGAGCTCATGATATGTCTCAACATGTGGCTAGAGAGCCAACTCGATTACCGACTTATGGACGAATCAATCTATATCTTATGATTTTAATTCATATGGTTGTTAAATTATATATCTCACCATATATAAAGTTTAACATGTTGAGTATGTGAGCAAATATATCTTATTTTCTACTTTAAAAAGAAATTATGTATCATAGTTTGCTTCGATAGTATGAAATAACATGATTTGGAGTAGTTAAAATTTATTAACTAAATTATATATGATTCCAACAAAGTATAATATGATATCAGCTAACAAAATAAATTATATGTATCATGATATACAAAATGAAGTACCAAATAAAAGTCAAGATTTTAGTAAACAAGCTATCTCGAGCTCGACTCGACTCGTTTATTAACATGCCGAGCTCAAGTTAGGGTAAAACTCGACTCGACTCGACTCGGCTCATTTGCAGCCATAAGAGAGAGTAAAAGCTTAACTTCCCAAAATGGCTTGAAAACAAAGTTAAGACAGCTCATGTTAAGGGAGAGCAAAAGTACGGAGCTTTGCCCTATCATCTATCCAGAGTATTCTAAAGGCAGAAGATATCACCATTGGAGTTGTTATTGAACATGAAAGGAGGCTGTCGGGAGTTTAGGCTTGTTCGATCCTCTGTTTTATTGGTCAATTAATGTAACACACAACAACACTAACATGGTATTTCACATAAAACTACAGTAACACGGTACAACACTAGTAGAATACACAAACAAAAGCATCCACTTATGGATAGCTTGACACATCATAGTACAATCCACAACGTCCCATGTTAAATGACGGACATTCATTCATACCGTAAATTCTGCTGGCGACGACGAGGATGTGTCGTTAGCCGGTGCAGTATTGCAAGCCGATCTTCTCCCTCACTCCCTCATGTTACTTTTAGCAAACTTCAAGCTAGCCTGATGTAACCCTCTCTCCTTCTCCCGTGAGCTCCATTCTGTCTGATAAACTATTTTCTTTCTATAGGAAAAACGGCGCATGATAAAAGCGTTAGTTGCTTGCGCCACCAGTGACGGTCGGATAAGTATGAGTCATATATAGTTATGCTAAAAAGAGACATTCATATAATGCTCACATATGTTGTAGATAAACATGGAATGCCCAGATGGTACTTGGCACGAATTACACAACATGCATACATACTTCTAATCTGCGCCGACGATCGTTGACTCTTCATTCTAATGCTTTCTGTCAATGTGAGGAATTGTTGTTTTTGTTCTTACCCTGGGGTATTCATCATCTTCTCGAAGCTCTATTTTGAGTTAGTAAGACTTACTATGATAGTTTATATGCACTCGTGATTGTCATGATGTTGTAATGTATATTGTCATTTGATAGAATAATTTGTTGGATGTAATGTTTTCACTCTTTAGAAACAAACTGACACCTAATAAAATATGAGTTTGCTTATGTTATAAGATAAGTTTTAAGGTGTGCTTAAAAGAGTCTTTTATTTAGTGTTAACTTGTATTGTCTTGTAGATAAAGATTGAATGACGGGTTTTTAGTCTTTTTAGCTCAAACTAATGGTTCCTTTCTGGTGTAATTGTGCAGACTGGCTCCTAGCATGGGCTAAAGTTTGTTCCTGTAGGTTTTAGTTTGGCCATTAATGATGAAAATTGCTGTTGGAAAGAAAGTAAAAAGCTCATTTCACTTTGTTTCATCTCATACCCACAGTAATTACTGTGCCAAAGTGACAGTAAGTAAAGCTTAAAATGGGATGTTGGTAAAGAGAGGGTAAAAGCTTAACTTCCCAAAATGGTTAGAATACAAGTTAAGATAGCTCATGTTAAGGAAGAGCAATAGTAAGGAGCTTTGTCCCATCATCTCCATAGTATTAAAAGCAAAATATATCACCATTGGAGTTGTTTTGAACATGAAAGGAAACTATTTGGTGTTTAGATCCTCTGTTTTAGTGCTCAATTAATTTAACACAAAACAACACTAACATGGTACAACACTACTTCATTAGAAATCTCACATAGAGCAACGCTAACATGGTACATCACTAGAAGAATACAAAAAAAAAAAAAACATTCATTCATGGATAGCTTCACACATCAAATAGTACAATCTACAACGCCATGTTAAACGACAAGCATTCATTCAGTCCGCGAATGCTGTTGGCGACGACGAGGATGTGTCGTTAACCGGTGCAGTATTACAAGCCGATCTTCTCCCTCGCTCCCTCCTGCTATTTTCAGCAAACTTCAAGCTAGCTTGATGCAGCCCTCTCTCCTTCTCATGTGAGCTCCATTCAGCCATGTAGTAATCCTCTTCGGTGGCAGACGAGGACGAAGATGAGGATGGGTTGCTTCGACCGGACGAAAACATACCACCCCACTGCGGGAAGTTGATCAAACATAGAGGGAAAGTGCAGCAAATGATCATTATTCCCATGTATGTGATTCCAGTCTCCTTGGAATATTTTGACCCTTTGAAGAATGCTAGCTGAGTTATCACCGCTCCCACGTTTCCTACTCCTCCCGTCATGCCCGCGATTAACCCTAACGACCTACATACATAGTGTAGTTAGTAAAATACGACACAAACATATGTTACGGTATTAATGTGTAACGATATATCTTCTACCTTCTGGAGACAACGGGCACGACTCCAAAGGTTAGGCCACAAGCAGCTTGGTAGAAGAACGAGAAAAGGATCATGACAATAATGGAGCCTCCAAATGAATTGACACGACCCAAAATTACACAAAGAACGCCGCCTACAGTCTGAACGAGCCTTAGAGTCCACAGCCTTCCCCTCATCCCAAACCTCTTCACCACCTCATCGGACAGCCGCCCTCCCCCTGGCCTGGAAATTAAATTCGCCAATCCAAAGCTCGCTGCAATCATTCCGGCGGTCTGGAGGTCCAAATTGAATCTTTAGAAGAAATTCTTTCTATTTACTTCTCCTTACTCTACTTAACAAAGGTGCAATGTTGGAAAGTGGAAAAGGTTCATAGTGCTTATTGGAGGGGATTTTTCTAGAAATACCACTATTTAAAAAAAAATATTACAAAAATACCACCCAATGCAAAGAATTGATTGAGATATGAGAAGTTTACCTACAACCATGTGCTTGAAATCTATAGGGGTGTGACACGCTAAAACACAACACCAAATTGCAACCAAGTGTAATCGCAGTCCGGGAATGCAGTAAAGTGACAAGTTCTAATTATCAACCCGGGTTCTAGATCTACTGCCTACTCCGTGATTATCTATTATCTAGCGAACTAAGTCGGGTGATTGTTGTTTTAACTAAAAGCAGTAAGAAAACAGGAATTGGTTCAGTTTTCTGAAGTCAAGGAAGTCACTCGGGAATGAGTCCCCCTAGCTCCTTAGTTAGGTCTCAATTGTAATTACCCTGGGTTGATTTACTGTTGATTAAACTGCGGAAGATCCGACAGTAGCTTGGAATCTCTTAAGCTGACCAAGCCCTCTCAGTCCAACTACCCGGCAGGCGACTAACCTTCACCGGGATAGAAAGCTGAGGCTATGAACACAGAACTCCACTACCGGAATTGGATGCCAGTACAAAGCAGTAGATTGATTAACTCTCGTATAACCAATCTACTACTACCGAATGATGAAGCTCTAACAACCTAATCATATTCTATCTATCTCAGGTTGCAGCAGAAATCAAGAAAAGCTGATCAGACTTCAATTACTTCAATGAATCATGCATCATTCGATTATAATCAAACAGTATAACAATCCCAAGTCATTACAATCAAGATCCCTAACACATGGAACTAGGGTTCTTCATATCCAAGTGAGAGAAAGTTCTACTCCATAGAGAGAGAGGAGAAAATAGAATACAAAGCAGTCATACTCATAACAATGGGAAGAATCTGCTCTGGGATGATGATTTCACTCCTATGATGATCTCCAAGCTCGATTTGATGAAACCCAGCTCCAAGATCGCTTCTAGGATGTGTTCTTCGCACTATCTCTCTCTAGGGTTCTGTTTTTGCTCCAAAAAGTCGATTCCCTCTCCTTTGGCTCGAAATTGGGTTAAAACCCAGATTTTCCCGATCACACGGCCAGGCCACACGGCCGTGTGGCTTACCCAGTTGCCCGTGTGAGTGCCAAAACGCGGAGTTTCGATTAAGTGGACTTCAGGCTTCCTACACGGCCAGGGACACACGGCCGTGTGGAATTCCCAGGGTGCCCGTGTGAGTGCTCGGTAAATCCCACACGGCCACATGGGTTACTTACACGGCCGTGTGGGTTTTAGGAGTGCCCGTGTGGCATCCTCAGCTTCTCGCCACACGTCCGATCTTCGTCCAATCGACCCCGAACTCGTTCCCAAAACTTCATTCACGTACTAGGACCTGAAATATCACAAACAAGAACAACCTAGCGTGAAATCGGCCTAAAACACGAGAATCAACATCTCAAACGGTGTAAGAATTGGGGTAAAAACATGTGCAATTAACGGTCTATCAAACTCCCCCACACTTAACCGTTTGCTTGTCCCCAAACAAACCAAGTCAGACACAAGGTAAGCTCACAATTTCAATCATACCAACATTGGGGACAAATCATATAGGCACAGAACACGAGAATCGTACTGGCTTTCAACATCAACACATGAACAACTTCAAAAACAACCTGGACATCCAACACAAAGGACATTTGAGTGTAGCAAAATCGAGTAAAGGAGGAGTCTCCCTTCTGTTCATCAACCAATCATAGACTTGACTCAACCACTTACTCAAGACAATCACCTCATGCACAAAACTCAAGATATTAGAATAGAGACCGAACAATCTATGTCCTCACCGGGGTACAAGAGTATAGAGAATATGAGAAAATGAATCGCTCACTCTCGACCAGTGGGGTCAGGACAATTTGATGCAAAAAATGTGCATGCTTATACCCTCAATCCCTAACATCTCTTCACCATGACGGCAGCCTCTAAGTGTTAGAGCTCACATAAACGGGTGTCATCACTAACTAATCCGGAGGTCTTAGACACAGGTTCAAATGACTGGCTAGGGTCTTGGACATGGGGAAAATGCCTTTTAGGTGGTGGAAGTATTCGTAGCACAAGGTTCCACATTTCCAAACCCAACACAATCACAGTCAATCAAACCACTTACTTTCTTTCTACCATTCTGCATTACTCAAATTCTTGCATTACTTAATGGGCACTATTCAGAGATTTGGTGGTGGCTCTCTTTTGCTTTCATTCTTTTTTCTTTTGTTTTCTTTGTTTTTCTTTATTTTTTTCATTTCTTAAGAGAACCACCACCTCTGCACAGTTTTCAAACACATGCCCAACTTTTAAGCACTACCTCCAACCCTCACATTATATTTAGCAGAAACAGCAGAGAACATGTAAAAACCACTCTATGGAACCTTCTAAAAGATGCAAAAGGGTGATTTTTCATTGTAGACCGAAAGAAAGGATAACACACGGCTCAAAGGGGCTGACTAGGGGTATGACACACCAGGACAGTCAATTTGGTCGTGGGCTAATCCTATGCCTTCATCATATTAGCTAATGAGAACGTGAATGCTACACATCATGAAAGAGGGAACTATCGCACAAGAAAGAAACGAGCAGGCTCAAATCTCACATGGCTACCTATATGCTCTATCATCTCATTCTGATTCCCTGAACTAGATGCATAAACGACTGTCAAGAACAAGTGATCAATCCAAGTCACAGTTGGTAAGCAAACAGTTGAAAAACTGAACCCCTACGCAATTCTACTGCACGTCTCAGTCACCTTTATAGGTTGTCCTAGTTACAATCAAGCTGTCATGCAATAATCCGAAAACCATTCGATTCAAACATCAGAACTATAGTGCCAATATGATCAAGCAAACAACAGTACTTGGAGCCCTCAAATCTTAAGATTCGGACAGCGGACTAGGCTCCAAGCACACATATATGGATTCCAACCGATACAAAGCACCCCCACACTTAAGCACGAAATCGTCCTTAATGGAGCAGAGGGAGAGATAAGGGGAGCGATGTTACCGGATTGAAATACTGCCAGGAGACTAGAAATGGACCAGTCAGCGGGAAACAAATGGGACGATGTACAGTTCTGCACGAATCGAACATCAAGAGCACACTAGCACACTGTGCGTTAGGGATCAGAGTTAGCCCAGATGGCCACAAAATAGACAGTCCACAAACAAAAAAGTAAAACAAAAATAAACGACAGACTAAGTTCAAGCTCCGCACACACATGGAGCAAACACAAAAAGTCTGAAATGAAAACACACTCAGAGGGGCGACGAGTACAGCCTACTCGTCGCCAAAGTTGTCCAGGTCGATGTCGTTCATGAAAGCGTCATCATCATCAGCTGGTAGAGGTGGAAGTGGAGAGTCCTCCTAGGGAGTCCTCCAGACTGGCTGCTCGCCCGGTAGCAGCTGGAGCAGGTGCTGCTGGACCTCCTGCATGCGCCGCGATCGGGCCTTCTCCCGCTCGATGTGAGCCAGTGTCACCCCCTGGTCTCCATACATTTCAGGCGCTCATCATAAGCAGCCATCCGAGTCTGATACTCGGCCTGGCGAGCCGCATACTGCTGCTGGAACTGGAGCTGATGGTCGAGGAGTTGCTGATTCTGGAGACGCAGCTGCTCGAACTGGTGAGTAAAGTAGTCCTGACCGGGGAAAGCGGAGTTGCTACCCCCGTACTCAAAGGTGGTGGGGCGGGGGGCAGTAGAATCATCCACATCCTCGGGCTAGTCATCCGAAGCAGCCTCATCCTCAGGAGCATCGGGCTGGTCCTCCGCTGGGATCGGAGGTTGAGGAAACCCCGCGATCCACTTGACACCGCGCTCCTCTCGCAGCAGGTGCATGCTCTTGATCGTGTCTTCTCCAAAGGCACTGGTGCTCCCCTGCTCTGTGAAACCCTGCAGTGATATCTGGAAGTAGGCGGCCAGGCGGGTGATGAGGGGAGTGCAGTGGAGGCTCTTCAATTCTGAAGCACTCTTCTCAAAGGTTCTGGCCACCACAGAACCCAAGTGGAGAAGATGGTCCTCCTGGCAGATGGACTGGATGAAGTACATGCCTCTCCTAGTGATGGTGCTGGCACTTTCCCCAGCTGGAGTGTAGGACTTCGCCAGCAAGTGGTGGAGAATGCGGTTATCTAGCTGTAGGGTGCTGGCCTTCGTCCGCCCCGCCACGAATGGACGCTGGCCTGGCTGAGCTAGGCGGGTGTACAACGTCTTGAAGTTCACGCCCACCGGATCGTTGAGCTCAGTGACGTAGTCCTCACCATCGGCCAGTCCGAGGTCGAGAGCGGTTGCCAACTCGTGGTAGCTCATGGAGCGGGGTACACCGCTGAGCCTGAACTTGGCGGCTTCACCGTCTGCCCAATCCTCTGTGGATGCGTGCTTGAAGGTCGTATGGAACTCAAGCACGGGCTCGTGGTAAACCTTCTCGCGAATGGATAGCAGACGGAGCCAAGGGCGGTTGGTGACAATGGCGGAGAAGTGCTCGTAGCAGTGCAGCTTCTCAAACTCCCGCCTGGACCAGCAATGGTGCTGCCCAAACAAGCAGGCCAGGACGTGCTTAAAACGATCCTGGTGGGGGCCCCTCTTCAAATCCCGGATGAACGGGTGCTTGAGGTCGGGTTTCGTCATGGTCCTGCAAAAGAACAACCCAAAGTTGAGCCAAAAGAGCCAAAGAAAAGGTTAATCACACCCCCACACTTGAGAACAGAAAACTATCGAACCATGGTTTCATCCATAGTTCGGGGGTCAAAACTCGATCAAACAAGCATAATCTGGGTGGGGGGTGCACATCCACAATGTAGTAGGCAACTTAAGGTTCACATCCATAGCAAATACACCATCAAAGCACATCATTAAAGGTCCCAACCGGTTCC